CAGAGGCTAGAGGAAAAATCCTCTGCCCCCGTCGGGGATCGAACCCCGGTCGTCCAGCCCGTAGCTAGTCACTATACTGACTGAGCTATCCCGGCTCTGGTATAGACGTTATGCCACCCAGAAATATTCCAAAATACACCTTTATTTCTTGAGGAAAGTCAAAGTTTTTATCGTTCTACATACAACCAAAAAAAAAAACCCATTACTGTGTTAAAAAGATCTCGCTGCTGGTCTCTGTCCTGAGCCAGACGAATTGAGTCTACAACTTTCCACCCTACTGTTTTAAGACCATTTTAAAATATTATTTTTCCATCTACGTCCACGTCTTCAAAGCTGTCTCTTCATCCCAGATTTACCGTCGAAAACACTACATGCATTTCTTGTCTCTCATGCGTGCCCCCTTCATCCCATCGTTCTTTATGTGTGTATCCTAATAGCATTTGGTGACTAGCAGAAGTGAAAAATATAAATATTACCATTAATTTTCACCCCCTCAGGTCCAAATATTCTTCTCAGGACTCTGTTCTCAAACACCTTCAATCGAAGTTCTTCACTCTTAAGACCAGGTTTCAGTACAGTGCCGGTTATCCGGGACCTCAGATTGTCTCTAATACGTAATTATATTTCTCTTAACTACTCGTACCACTGTCTTATATAAACTGGAATTTGACTCATCAACTTTAAGAAAGAATATTTGGTATTTTTGTGTATGTTTTGCGATGTACAAATATAAGTTTCCATTTTAATAAAATATTCTAATAAAACATAATTTACACTGACCTGGGTTTCTCATTCCCTCAATTACAAAGAATAATCGGAGTTCTACTTTATTTAAGAAACCAGTTCTTACCGCAAAGAAAACACAAAACTTTGCCATTTGAAAGATCAACTGGATAATGCTGTTAGCGAAATGGTGGCTGTTTATTTTGAGGGAGTCATATGAAACCCACAAAAACACTGAGAAAGACATAAAGAGTTATTGAAATGTCAAAGCAAGTTGTAGAATACACATATTAATCATTGTATTTTAAAGATGTAAGTCTAGCAATATATTTAAACTCAGGAATTGTTGGAATCAGTACAATATTAGACAGGAGCATGGTTTAAAATACGTGACGTTTGGACCAACATGGCACCAACGATAATTTACGACAAAATCATCATCATTAACTTCAAAAAATGAGATTACTGGATCACCGCGAAATTATTTTTTGTTTAATTTGTAGGACAGCATTTGTATCACAATTCAACACGCGAAACATTTGCTCTTGGATTTATACAAAATTAAAAAAAAAAAGGCAATCTGCCCGAGAAAGACTTGCATTCAGCAACAAATATTGCCATCTCGACCAAGCCCAACTTTTACAGTTCCAGGTCTGGAGACCCGGAGCGTGTTAGCCGATGGCAACATTAATGCAAACCACGTACCAATGTGATGACGCTACGAAACAGAATAACAAAGTTATTGAATTTTACAAAAGAAAGTAAACTCAAATTAAATTAATAGATTTTGAACTCAACTTACCTTGAACTGTTGGACGAAGTCTTTTGTCATATCGGGTGGTCACTAATAGATTGTCCAGAATTTCTTTATCCGACTTGCCTTCTTCAAAACTGAAACAGAAAAGTTATAATTATCAACAGCTCATAAATATAAAATTAGACTGTAGTAGTAATCAGAGACTTTGACCGCACAGTGGATGAAATTTGAATCATTCAAGGCGACTGAATTCAATGAAGTTTTCTCTGACGATCAGACATGTGAGAAAAGAATTCATACGTAGTTTTTCGGAAACCGTCTCTGCCTCCATAATCAGGGTTGAAGTAACAAAGGCTTCATACCACAAAGAAGAGATATCAACCCCAGACCAAGACACTGGCATACTCGGACGGCTAAGGGACAACCTCTCACACAACTTACGATATCTCGTTTGGTACGATCTCAGGTCTCCACAGCGGCGAGTCCGAAGATGGCCGTCGACTGGGATGTAGCGCCGTGTAGTATGCCAGAAGTTTACCAAAGTTCCAGAGGCCCATACTGCCTCCATCATCGCAGCATCATTATCGGCGAACTTCTACCATACTACATGGGGCTACAACCTTAAATATCTCCTTTGACGACTGAAAAATGTCACTGAATGATTGAGCGATTCTAGGATTATTTTACGACTCCTTCCAATCCATTATGCATCGTCGAATGCCACAGTAATTATGTAAATGAATAACTAAAAATAATTTGGAAGAAAAAGGTAGTGGTCTATTTCAAAGTACAATGCAAATAAGTTGTTGGAGTGTATAACTAATCAGGAAAGCCAGCAACTGAACAAAGATTTGAACAAGAAGCCTCCAGAATACGAACCAGGAGTACTAACCACTCCTTCTACATCCTTACCAGTTCATTAATGATCCTATAATCAGACGCGAAACAGCCTGAGCCATTGTCAGCGTCCTTGAAGAGAATGCGATCAAAGCTAAAAGGCCAATTATGGCTAATTACCTTACTTTAATTTATAATATGTGGCACGAGAGTTCTGTTAACTACCAGCGCGTGCGTGAAATACACCACAAACTGCGCAGCGCGGCGAAGCCAATGAAAGAAACGTTTGTCCTTTCCTTGTGGCAGCTAACAAATAGAAAAGTTGCCCGCAGTTCCAAAATCCAGCACGCAAATAGTTAATCAATCACGTTCTCACAAGTACAGAGTTCGGCCTTCATAATGTTTACGCACAGAATAATTATCGAGGTAAAAGCGAGATCGCGGGTTACACTCTTGTCTAGGGATCGTCCACACATTCAGACCTCGGCCAGAAGACCGGCAATCCTAAGGTTTCCCGGCTTTCCTCAAACCCTCCAACACACGCTAATACTTTTAAAATTACGTCACAACCACTTCGGCAAATATTTTTCCAATAATATTCATTAATCATCCCATCATTCTTCGCTATTTTGTCTGAACTACTAACCGCGAAGACAAATAAACCACAAATAAAAAAGTTGTCAGTGGAACCACGGTTCCGGAGAATTAGACGTAAATACGTCTTTACGGAAAGGAAGTTTATATATTGGCTTTATTCTAAATATTTCCTTTATACA